TCTTTGGCTGGTTTATCTTTCTTATACTCAATGATTAACTTGTCATTTTCCTCATCATAAGTAAGGTTTTTGATATCGTTGCTTTTACAATAATTTCGCACCACACTAACATTAGGAGGAGTGTCCTTGTTAGGAGTGTCCTTGTCCCCCTTACTTTCCAAAGCGATTATTCCAGTAAATTTAGACTCAAAAAATACTATCATACTTTTATATGCTAGATTTAATTGAACTTCGGGCTTAGTTTTGTCAATAAGATTTCCAAAACCAAACACCATTAAAAAAACTTTCTCCTTATCAAAACTTAACTCAAAATTTTGGTTTTTGCTATCCAAAAGAGCCTCATAATAAGCCTTTTCGGCATTATCCTGAAAAACAAAAGCAATTTTTTGGAAAGAACCGTCAGTTATAGAACCACCATGTGCCCCATCTAGGGAGTGAATTTGCGATACTAAGAAATCAGTTTGAATTTCTAATTCTACACCTTTACTTCCTGCATTTAAGTCCTTAGCAGGAATTTCCTTAATGCTTTTTTTAGTGAAAGGGATTTTAATGGCTGTCATATTGATTAATGGTTAATTTGGTTAATTAACTTATTTTATAGTGTTTTTTTTTTTTTTTTTTGTTAAATTTTGGTAAAAAATATGCTAAGTGATTAGGAGTTTTTATATTTTTTGAATAAGTAAAAAAGACTGCTATCCATAGAGTTCTTTATAGGTTTTTCCTCAACATTCAGCAAAAATTAAGATATGATTAATCAAAAAAAAACTTTCCAACAACCACCTAAACCAAAACGACTGACTGATAAAGCAATGCACCAGTTATTAACTAACCTAAAAAAAGAAGCTGACCAAGCACCGGAAGAGAAAGGTAGTTTTAGTTTAGAAGTAATTTGCAGTGGTAAAGATATTCAAGGTAAGCAAAAGTAAGTAAATGGAGATTTATTTTGAACACTTAATTAATGCCACTTATCGAGCATACCAGGATATCCTAATTAAAAAACATGGGGATATCTATCCTTTACGTTCTGCCATTATTAAATTTGGAGGTTTTCATTTAAGTTATGATTGGTATGGCAGGACTAGATTAGGAAAAGAGGAAGTAGGCAACTTAACTATCTACACCAAAGAAATTCACCTAAACATTCTTTTTTATTAATTTACGACAAGAAAATGCCTAATAGATTGATACAACAGTAATGACCTTATTTGTAAATAGGAGTTTATAGTAATTATGATTATCATTATTTAGTAGATTTAGAACAAATACTTAGAGGTGAAAAAATTGAGCCAAAAATAATAGTGAAATAAGAAACCAACTTGATGGTAGAATTAAAAATATTGCTTTCTTTACTCCTGATTTTAATGATAGTAAACGGATGTTTCTAATTATGATTGAGTGGTGGAATTACTTGGACTTGAATCTGTTAAGTTTGTTACTTGAAAAAACTTTTGAGATGGAGGTTCTCCTTCTTCCTTTCCCTTTCCCTTGATGACAAAAGTTAATCCATATTTAATATTAAAAAGTTTGCTAAATAATAATTGAAGTTTGGGCTTAAATTATTAGTTAAAATTACTTTTCGGGGTAAAATTACTTAAAAGATAGATAATTTTTCGATACTTATTTTAATTCCTAAAAAAAATCAAGAATTAAACAAACTATAGCGTATCAAAAAAAAAATATTTTTTGCATGAAAAAAATCACTATAATTGGAAATAAAGGAGTAGGAAAAACTACTCTTTTTCGGCAGTTAGTCAAAAATTACTCTTCCTCTAAAATAAAAGAAGAAATTAAACCAAGTCCGTTAATTAACTATACAGAAAGTATAATTAAAATAGGAGATAATATTTACAAGTTGATCGATACACCCTCTTTTATTCTTTCTCCTAAAACAGAGGTCGAAAAAGGGATCAAGGAACAAGCAGAGAATTTATTAAAGGTTAGTGATTTAATTTGTTGAGTAGTTGACAGAGTAGGCGAGGAAGAATTATTACTAAGAAGATGCTTAAAAAAATTAAAAACTCCCCAAATTTTAATATTTAATAAGCGAGATCTAGAAAATTCAGAGGAGGAATTTTATTCTGGCAAAACTCTTCAACTGCAACATTTTTTAGCCATTTCGGTTCGAAAGGAAAATAATTTTAACGAACTAGCAAAGCAAATAACTCGAATTTTGCCTAACTCTGCTAAAGCAAATATTGACTGAAATGAAAAAGAGTTAAAATTACTCATTTTTGGTTCACCTAACTCTGGTAAATCCACCCTCATGAATTACCTATTACAGGAAAATCGCTCGTTGGCTACCCCTACTGCCGGAACCACCCAAGAGCCAGTAATTAGTAATTGAAATTGAAAAGGAACTTCTGGTGAAACAAAAAAAATTAATTTTCAACTAATCGACACTGCTGGCATCACTAAAGAACAGAAATTGAAAGAAAAGGTATGAAAAAACTGCGATTTAGCCTGAGCAGTAATTGATGCTACCTTACCTTTGACTAAACAGATCTTACAGATAGTTAACTTAGGAGAAAAGCATAATAAACCACTAATTATAATCATTAACAAATGTGATTTGTTAAAAGAAAAAAAAGCCCTAAAAGAAGAATTAAAAAGTCGGTTAAAATCACTAGGTTATGTGCCAATCATTTACGCATCGGCTTTAAAAGGAACTGGAATGAAATCGTTGCTAAAAATCTTGGAAAAGATGTTGGAACAATCCCAAAAAAAACTTTCTAAAAAAGCACTTGCTGAATTAATTGAAAAAATGCTACTGAATAATCCACCTAAATACCACAAGGGAAACAAATTAAAAATCTATTTTACTAAACAAGAGTTAGGATTAATCCAAACTTTCCTTTTTTTTGTAAATAATCCCCAAACAGTGCATTTTTCTTATCAACGATACATTGCTAATTATTTGCGAAAGAGTTTGGGTTTAGAATACCTACCAATTAAAGTAATTCTAAAAAAAAGTAAATAACTATTAATACATATTATTACATTGATCACAATACTAATTATTTAGTTCTATTATTTTGAAATAGAGATTAAAACAGTGTTTCATTTTTAAATATAAAATTATAAATATATGAATAATTACAACATAGATACACATAACAATATGAATAACTCCTCCATAGAGAGAGAGAGAGAGAGAGAGAGAGAGAGAGAGAGAGAGACGAAATTGTTAAAGGTTCTCCCCTCCGAACAAGCCTGTACCAAGCATTTCGAAAAACTTCGCTGAAATGGGATTATAACTTCTCCTTATGACCCCAATTCCAAAGTTTATAAGTGTGCTAATGCTAATGCCTAACCATCCCAATTAGCCTTTTTAACAACTTTTATGACTTTCTTTCTCTATTTTTCAACTTTTTGGAAAAAAACAATTTAGTTCAAATTATCAAAAGACAAAGGAAAACAAAAATAAAACAAGCACTTAAAAAATTAATAATAAATAAGTTTCACCTTCTTTCAGTTATGAATTCAAAAATAACATAAGGATATTTTTCTAAGTGAGGAAATAAACTGCTAGTGGGGCTGTGGATTTTAGCCAAAGTCCAGACATAAAAAAAGTAAAAAACTGGACTAATAGGAGCAACTAACAAAGTCTTTACTAATCTTTTTCTTAGTTTATCTGCTGAGGCATAAACATAAAAATAAAAAATAGTCAAGAGTGGAGCGATGAAATGCCAAGAAAATGACTGACAATTGAATAACGGCGATTTTTCTCACCCGACACTCAAAAAAAGCAAGCAGTAAACTCAAAAGAAAAAAGTAATCAAATTATAAATGGTGGCTAGCAAAGTAATGAATTGAGTAAAATAGGAAGAGTTTTTTCTTTTTCTCTGCGATTTAAATATCATAATCGCCGCCAAGACGGTAAAAATTGAAGTATGAACCGACCACCAAGAAAAAAAGCGAAGGAGATGAAAATGAAAAGGAATATCAGTTCGAAAAAAAGCCACGATAATTCCTAGTAAATGTAAAAAAAGGATAAGGGAGAGTAGAAACTGCCTTTTGGATGAATTTAGAGTTATTTTTTTTTTTAGCACTGTATACGGTTGCCACTTCTGTTTAATAAATAATTTTAACTATCTGGTTATGATTTAACCCTAAAAATTATTAAACATGCCAAAATCTTTTTATATCACCACCCCAATTTTCTATCCTAACGACCGCCTCCATTTAGGACACGCTTATGCAATGGTGCTAGTTGATATAATTGTCCGTTATAAAAAAAGTCAGGGTTATCAGGTTTATCTCCAAACTGGCAGCGATGAGCATGGAGAAAAAATTGAAAAAAAAGCTAACTTATTGGGAATTTCTCCTCAGGAATTAGTTGACAAAAATGTTCTCTTATTCAAGCAACTTTGGCAAGAATTAGACGTTTCTGAACATACCTTTTACCGCACTTCTTCTCTTGTTCACAAAGAAAAAGTTCAAAAGATTTTTACGGAATTATTAAATAAGGGCGATATTTATTTGGGCGAATATCAAGGAAATTATTGTGTCCCCTGTGAAGATTATGTAAGCGATAGCAAAATTGCTGATAATAACCTTTGCCCAACCCCTAATTGCCAGTCTGAACTAAGGAAAATTAACGAATCGGCTTATTTTTTAAGAGTTAGTAGATATTATTCTCAGTTAGTAGATCATTATCAAAAAAACCCTAATTTTCTTTTACCTGCTAACGCCAAAAAAGAACTCTTTAGCAATTTTTTAAAGGAGAATATTCCAGATTTGTGTATCACTAGAAGCGACATTAAATGAGGAATTCCGGTTCCTAACCATGAAAAAATGGTGATTTATGTTTGGTTCGAGGCGTTACTTAACTATCTTAATTCAGAACTAGGAGAAAAATTTTTCACTTCTGATTCTCCTAATGAGCAAAGAAATGAGAAGGTTAGGGAATTTTCTTGTGTGGCTATTCAAAATAAAAATGGCGAGTACCTTTTAGTTTACAATAAAAAATATGATAGATGGCAAATACCGGGTGGCAAATTAGAGCCAAACGAGAACCCCCTACAAGCTGCTAAGAGAGAAATTTTTGAGGAAACTAATTTAATAGTTGAGGACTTAGAAAAATTTGGAGAAAAAGTTTTTTACGTTGCTAAGGGTTGATGAAGAGCTCATATTTATCGAACTAGTAACTATTCGGGGGAATTATTAATCAAAGAGCCCCAAACCATTAGTGAAATTAAGTTTTTTGAGGTAAGCGAAATAGAAAAATTAAATTCCCAAGTCCCAGACAAAGTAACCGAATATCTACTCAAAAAATTAACTGCTGGTGAAATTATTCATTTAGTTGGCAAGGAAATAACTCGTTTTCATGCCATTTATTGACCAATTATTCTTTTTGCTTTGCATAAGCGATTACCAGATAAAATTTTAGCTCATGGTTGGTTAACTACCCCCCAAGGAAAAATGAGCAAAAGTAAAGGTAACGTTATTGATCCACTGGAATTGCTAAAAAAATATCCTCTTGATTTATTGCGAATCTATTTGATAGCTAAAATTAATTTTTTACAGGATGGGGTCTGTGATGAGAATTTATTAAGAGAATTCTACCACGATTTTTTAGTTAATAATTTGAGTAATTTAGTTTCTCGGGTCAACAAAATGCTGCAACTTTATCGAAAAGGAGTGGTGCCTTCACTAGAAAATGAAGTAAAAAACGAAAAATTAGAGGAATACAAAAAAAAATGTAATTCAGTAGTTCAAAGGTTTCAAAAAAAAATGGATAATTATGAACTCACCAAGGCTTTTTCCCAAATTCAAATTCTGCTTGACGAAAGCAACAAATTAATTGCTGATTTAACACCTTGAGAATTAGCCAAAAAGGGCGAAACTGTTCTTTTAAATTATACTCTAAATTATTTATCGAATGGAATAAAAATTATTGCTTACTTACTTAACAGCATTATCCCCCACACTAGCCAAAAGATCTTTGAAATTTTTAATTTAGATAGCAAAAAAATAAATTATAATAACTTATTAGAGTTTAATTCTTTGAATGGGACTAAAGTAAAGTTATTAGAGAAACATTTATACCAACCGCTTAAATAAATTAATAATTATCAGTCACCAAAAAATTCTTTTTTAGTCTTGTTGAAAAACTGATTTTTTTAACCCTTCTAATTACTTTATTATTAACTTTTCGGCTACTTTCTCCAAGTTATATTTTAATTTAGGTTTAGCAGTTCAAATAAACCCTTCACTTTCTATGTATTTTGGAATAATATGGATATGTAAGTGAAAAATGCTTTGAGCAGCTATTTTCTCCATATTACTAATAATATTAAATCCGGCTGGTTTAAAAACTGCTACTAATTTGCTAATAACTTCTTTCATTAAAGGCGATAAACTCTTTCAGCTTTCTTCATCTATTTCACTAAGGTTGGTAAAGTGCTTTTTAGTAATCAGTAAAGTATGACCATCACTGACTGGAAACTTGTCTAAAATGGCTATTACTTCTTCATTTTCTCCTACTAAATAAACTTCTTTTTTAGCAGCAAGGCTTTTTATTTCTTTGACAATTTTACAAAATAAACATTCCATAATTTATATATTCTATTCAAAACTAATATTTCCTCTTAATTCATTTTTAAATTTAATAGGTTTAATTTCCTCTGTTTTTTAAATTATACTATACTATTTAATTTTATAACAGCAGCGACTTTATTATAGTCGAGCGCATGCACCGCAAAAAATTTAGAAAAAATTAAAATCCTCTTTTTTTAAGTCGCTGATCGAAGTCTTGATTAGTAGCGCCTTTTCATGATGCTTGATAGTTGGATAAAAGGGAGCAACCGCAATTATTTTATCATTATTTTTTATTATATTGCTGAGAATGTTTGGATTGTCATCTATTACTACCTCACAATCAGGAACATTTTTTCTAACTCATTCATCCTTGGTCTGTCCTTGACCCTCGCTATCAAATCCCAGCAAGTTTAACGAACAACTTGGAAATTTACCAAAAGTCTCAATAAATATTTTCTTTTTTCGCGGGTCTCCATTTGGAAAAGCCCTTTTATCGTAAGCAGAGAGGAAAATTACTTCCACTTTATTTTCTTTCACTAATTTTAACAACTCTTTGGCCAAAGTAAGAAACGGAGAACGTTCATAAAAATCAGGTTCGTTTTTTATTTTATCAACCTTGCCTTTAATGCTTCTTGCGCCCAAACCATAACTAGTGCCTTTCGCGGTTTTCACTGGCAAGCAACTGTTCACCATATCTTTATCAGTATAAATGGAATGACTACCATAATTAGAAAAATAAATTGGAGCATGGGGTCAAAAATCGTGAAAAAATTCGGTGAATGGAGTTCCATTCGGTTTTCATCAGGGAGCATCGTAATAGGCTCCTTCTCGTTCTGACAATTCGTGATACACTTTCGGTTCAAGCGGTTGAATTACTTCGTCCCAATCGCAGACCACTTTCAATTTTTTGGGAGTATTTTTAAAATGACTATAAAGACAGTTGATTACTACTTTTCTGGTGGCTTCTGCTTGGTATTTTTTTTCTCTTTTATCTTCCATATGAATAATGCATTATTAGATTATTAAAATAAGGTAAATTAAAAATTAATTTTACTAAATACCTTTAATATAATTTTATGTTAAAATAAATATATGTCAGAATGTAAAATAATAAATTGTTCTAAAGAAAGAAACCTTTGTTATTACACCGACTATTGTTCTTATCATAGAGCAGCAGGATAATGTAATGATACTTTTTTCTCCGCTTTCTTTAACTTTACTATTCATTTCTCTCGTTTCCTCATTTTTGTCTCTGATTTTAGCATGAAGCAAAAAAGGTAAATTGCTTTTATATTTCTCTTTTTTTTATTGAGTATTTACTTTTGGATATTATCTTTTTTGAATTAGAGGAGACCAAATGGCAGATATAGGATTTATGCTTTTTTCTTTTCCTATTTATGGAATAACTTTGTTTATCCTTTATTTAATTTCTCGTTTTAGGTAAAAAGATTTTATTTACTTAAGAATGCTTCCCTATTTATGGAATTTGCAAAAAAACATAACAAAAGACTAGAAAAATAACTTATGAATGAGAATAATAATTTAGGAGAAAAATTAACTGGTGAAATGAATGAAACTAATAATAAATTAGGCTGAAAGAGTAATGACCGATATTTACAAGAGGTTTCGTCAAAAGAAACCTGTCGAATAATGTAAAATGTTTGGAATCAAAGAAGCAGGTGCTTTTGCAATCATTCGTTATTCTCTTGGAATTGCAGGTTTTTTTTTGATTATTTTACTTTGTAGACTTTTTTATGTTTTATTAATGAATAAAAAATTTCAATGATGAGATGTGTTATTAATTGTTTTACTTTATCTTTCATTGACACCTCTTATTTTTATCAATTAAGTAGACTAACCTTTGTTATTTTACCTTCTAAGTCACGAAAATTTGGTTAAAAATCATTATTTTTTTACTTCTCGTCTTCATCGCTCCACTCCAACCGGCCGCCAGTTTGATATTCGGTAACTCTAGTTTCAAAAAAGTTCTTTTTTTTATTCAAATCAGTAGTAGTAGACATTCAGTCAAAAGGATTTTTTGTCTCGTAAATTTTAGGCAAGCCAATTCTTTCTAATCGACGGTCGGCAATATACTCGACATACTCGCAAAATTGTTGAGAATTAATTCCAACTATTCCTTCTGGACAAGCCTCGCGGGCATATTCTTTTTCTAATTCAACTGCTCTTTTAATTAATTGGATGATTTCATTTTGAAATTCTTTGGTTCAAACTTGGGGATATTCTCCGGAACCAAATTCAAGTGGTTTGGCTCCAGTAATAGTATTAATTAAACCACAACCAAAGGCCAAGTGTAAACTCTCATCGCGCATAATGTATTCAAACTGTTGACCCACTCCTTCCATCTTTTTGTTCCGCTTCAAGGCCAACATCATGGCAAACCCAGCATAAAAAAATATCCCTTCCATAATCACGTAATAACCAATTAAATCATGGAGAAAGTGACGAATGTTTTCCTCTCCTTGAGTAGTGAAGTCGGGTTGGCTAATAAACTTAGTTAATTCAACCACAAAATCATCTTTCCTTTTAATAAAAGGGTCAGTTAAATACATGTCTCAAATTTTATTAGAATCTAAACCTAAACTTTCGCAGCAATAAATAAAAGTATCAGCGTGAACTGCCTCCTCAAAAATTTGTCGACAAAGATACTGTTGACATTCGGTATTAGTAACATGCTTAAAAATAGTTATTAAATTATTAGCAGTTAATAACTCGGCAGTAGAAAAGAAACCGATATTATAACAAATTAATTTTTTTTCTGCTTCGCTTAAAAAGGTGGGAGAGTTTCATTGTTTTTTATCCTCTCCCATTGAAATTTCTTCAGGAATTCAATTATTAGCCACTCCATCTTTTCAATATTGACGTGCTCAGGAATAGATTATTTCTTTAATGGTATTTGGGTCAAAATTAGGGTCATTTATTATTGGCATATACTTTAATTTTAATAATATTTACTAAAGACTTTTAAGAACTAAATCACCTTTAAAATTAATTATATGTCTAACTCTATTTCAATCCAAAAAAGAAGTCTAAATCATGAAAATTTTCAAGAAAACAAACTTAAAAACTTCTTTGAGGAAAAGTTAAATATTTCCGTTGAACCTACTAATCGAGATTTATTAATTTCTAAAGCAGAAAAACAGTTTTTTGATAATATCTCTACTACCCAAATAACTAACACTTTGATTTTAACGGCGACCAGTTTAATCGAAAAAGACCCAATCTTTGATAAAATTGCTACTCAATTGTTGCTCCAAAAAACCTATCGAAAGGTTTTTCAAAAAAAAGTCAATTCTAATAATTTTCGAGAACTTTATCAACAGTCCTTTATCAATAGTTTAAAAATAATGGTGGAAAAAAAGAAAAAAAATGCCGATCCTAAATTATTGGAATTTGATTTAGAGAAATTGAGTCAAGAATTAGTTTTAGAAAGAGATAATCTATTTAATTATATAGGGTTGGAAGTGGTTTATAGTCGTTATCTTTGAAGAAAAGATGAACAAATCTTGGAAACTCCTCAAGTATTCTGAATGAGGGTGGCAATGGGGTTGGCATTAAACGAGGAAAGTAAAAACGAGAAAGCCATTGAGTTTTATCATATAATGTCTACTTTTCATTTTGTTCCCAGCACTCCTACCCTTTTCCATTCCGGTTTAAAAAAAGCCTCGTTAAGTTCTTGTTTTTTAGCCACCGTGGAAGATGACCTGCAACATATTTTTAAGTCTTACTGAGATACCGCTACCCTGCTAAAATATTCAGGAGGAGTAGCGACTGACTGAACTAATTTAAGAGCAGTTGGTTCGCTTATTGAAAGTGTTGATGTAGAGTCGACCGGAGTAATCAGTTTCTTAAAAGGAGCAGAGGCTACTACTTCTATGATCAATCGTTCGGGTCGAAGGAGAGGAGCAACGGTGGTCTATCTTGAAGCATGGCATTTAGAGATTGAGGATTTTTTAGACTTACGTAAAAATGTAGGAGATGAAAGAAGAAGAACTCATGATTTGAATTTGGCTCTCTGGATTCCTGACTTATTCATGAAAAGAGTAAGAGATAAAGGAAAATGAACTCTTTTTTCTCCTTCAGATACCCCTAACTTACACCATCTTTATGGAAAAAAGTTTGAAGAGGAATATGTGCTTTGTGAACAACTAAGCCAAACAGGAAAAATTAAATTGGTAAAAGAAGTCAATGCTTTTGAATTATGAAAAAAGGTATTAACTCGTTTGTTTGAAACTGGTTATCCTTGGATCACTTTTAAGGATGCGTGCAACATTCGTTCTCCGCAAGACCACGTTGGAATAGTTCATTGTTCTAACTTATGCACTGAAATAACCCTCAATACCTCCCCAGAAGAAATTGCGGTTTGCAACCTCGGTTCCGTTAACTTATCTAAACACATTACGGATAATAAATTAGATGAAAGATTATTCAAAGCAACTATTCTCACCGCCATGAGAATGCTCGATAATGTGATTGATATCAATGATTATTCTATATTACCTAAAGAAACCAAAAACTCCAATTTAAAACATCGACCAGTCGGTTTAGGGATGATGGGTTTTCAAGATGCCTTGTTTAAACTGAACCTTCCCTACCATTCTGAATTAGCATTAAATTTTGCTAATGAAATAACTGAAAAATATTCATATTATGCTATCTCAGGCTCTTGTCAGTTGGCGAAAGAAAGAGGAACTTACTCTTCTTATAAAGGTTCTAAATGAGACCAAGGAATATTTCCATTAGATACTTTAAATTTATTAGAAAAAGAGAGGGGAGAGACAATTAAGATAGAAAAAAAGGGGAAAATGGATTGAGAAAGTTTGAAAGCACAAGTAAAAAAATATGGCATGAGGAACTCTAACACGATGGCAATTGCTCCCACTGCTACTATTTCTAATATTGTCGGATGTTATCCTTGTATTGAACCCCTCTATGATAACCTTTATACCGAAAGTAATATGATGGGAGAATTCGTGATAGTAAATAAATATCTGGTGGCCGACTTAAAAAAAATAGGTTGCTGAAATCAGGAAATATTAGATCAAATAAAATATCAAGGGGGTAGCATCCAAAACATTCCTAATCTTCCACCATCCTTAAAAGATAAATATAAAGGAGCATTTGAATTAGATCCACGGTGGATGATTAAAATCACTGCGGAACGAAGTAAATGGATTGACCAAAGTATTAGTCATAATGTATTTATCGCAAAACCCTCTGGATCAGAATTGAGTAAGGTTTATTTCACTGCTTGAGAATCGGGTTTAAAGACCACTTATTACTTGAGAACCTTAGGTGCTAGCCAAGTTGAAAAGTCTACTTTGGATGCCAGTAAATTCGGTTACACTCAAAAACGAGATAGTGAACAAGGTAGGTGTCCAATTAATAGAAACAAAGAAGATTGTGACAGTTGCCAATAAAAAAATATAGTGAATTGCGGAAGATAAAAAAATTAATTTTAAGTGGGGGTGCTGAATTTGCAGCAACTGTCAAATTAAAAAAGCAAAGGTGATCTTTAATTTTTTAAAAACCGACAAAAATGAATCTAAAACCTACTAAAATTAAGAAAGTATTTGCCATGTGCTGTTTATTACAAAGAGCGAAATAATGTCATGCTCTAGACTATCTTCTATGAACTAATTTTAGTGATTTTTATCTTTGCTTTTAGTCAGAAAATAAGGGATTTATGTAGTTAACTACACCAAAGGACACTCTCTCTAGCATAGAACTTATTTTAGTTTTTCTTACTTTTGTTCTTCGTAATAACTTACCATTTCTTCTTTATACTCTCCCTTAACTTTTTCATCAAATCCATATTTTAAAGGCTCAGTAATTTTATCATAGGTATACTTTTTGAAATCAGAATTATAAAACTTTCAGAATAGTTTTTTATATTCTAGATATCAAGGATCATATCAATGACCTTTCTTGCTTTCTTTTATTTCCTTTATGTGTTCATCTATTAGTTCCTCATTTTCCATGTAATAATTTCATCTTTCTTGGTCATTAGAGAAAGGAGAAATTTCTAAATAATGAAGTTTTTCAATTATTTTTCTTTCTGTGATAGAATATTTCTTTTCGTAGGCAAGAAAATGAGCTATTTCATGAACCATTACATTAAAGAATTGTCATTTACTTCGCAAGGTATACCAAGGAATATAAAGTTTCTTGAGAGTCGGTTGGGTTCAAGCAAAAACTCCTTTTTCATATTCTTCATAACTCAAAAGCGACTCGGCACTTTCTAAAAAAATTACTTCAACTTCTATATTGGGCAAACAACGAGTCAGCATTTGATAAACTACCTTTTTATGTTCTTCTTCTATTTTTTTAGCAACACAACTGGGAGAACAATCCTTTCAAGGATTGATCCTTCCCTCATTACAGTCAGGACATTCCTCCACCAATTTTACCTTTCTTTCATCTATGAAATACATAAGGTTTTCCTTTTATTTTTCATTCTTGTTCTTGAAAATTCCCTTTGGTGCATAATGATGTATTGTCATAGTTTCTCTAATTTTTTCTCTTAATTTTTTAGTTTCAGTAGTATCGAACTTTTTCCTATAACATTCACAATGATAAAAAATATCCTTGGTCTCTCGGTTTAGGTTCTCGGGGTAATCTGCCGTGCTAGGTCGTTGTCTTTCTACTATACAGAGATTTGTATCAGAAATACCTTCAATAATCCCTTTTTGACAATAGTTGCAAGTTTTTATTTTTTCGTCTTTCATAACTAATGTTTAAATGAAACTAACAATATGGTATTTGTTATGAATTCATTTTAATGAATTTTACTAACTAATGGTTTCTCTTTGACTTTTTCCTCAACAAGAAATAAACAAGTATTCCCACAACAATCAACAAAATCACCACTAGAACTATCCAAAGAATATAATCCTTTCCATTCCGAGAGGAGTTTTCACCCCCCCCCCCCCAAGGGTTTCTTTACTACTATCTACTCAAGAATTACTGCTCCTTCTTTTTCTATCAGTAGAGGGATAAAAATAAAGTTCGTTCTTATGACAATTCTCGCATGATGAGTATAAAGAGTTCTCGTTTTCATTATCATTCAATTGTCTTTCTCAATCACACTTATGACATCCTACTCAACTATTATTCGAAGAGGATGGTAGATGGGATGGTCTATTTCCACCTTCATAATGATAGCGATAAGTATCTTCCAAACTTTTTACTTCTCTTTTCAAAGCTTCACAAGAACCTCCATGTTTCTCAATATCCTTTACCATATCCCGATGTCGTAGGATCAAACTTTTTAGAATTTCTTTATCGAACATATATTATATTTTTCATTCAACCCCTTCATGCTTCACTCAAAGATGTCATGAATAGACAACTGTTTCCAGATTGTCAAAATTAACACTTTACTTCGAAAGTGTAATTTTGAGACGAAATAAAATATAATATATAAGTTGACTAACAGAATGAAAGAACACATTTTTACCTTATAAAAAATTTCTTACGATAATTTACTCTTGAAGGGGGACAATCATTATTCAACTAGTTTTTGAGCATTCTAGAGATGATAGTGATTGCTCCCCTTGAGGAATAAACTTTCTCTAAAAACTGTGATTAGATTTTCAGTGAGGGCAGTTGCGATGTCAAATTCAAATAAGGCATCTGGCACCTAGTTAAAAAAATAAAAACAACTGCCCTCATTCAAGAACTAATCTTATTCAAATACATTGGCAATGTATATTCTATATTTTACTTACTTTGTCATCTATAATTTAATTTTAAATTAAAAAATCCTCCCAACTTTTTTTGTTATGGTAAAATTAGTATATAGGACATAGTCCTATAGATAAGATTATGAGAAGTAAATTTTATGCTCCGAACACCACTTATGCTTTGTCCTACAATTCTGATTACATGAACTACTTGCAACAAGAGAAAGGTTGGACTATAAAGAAAATAGCCAATTATTTTGAAGCAAGCGAACGAACTATTTATCGGCGGATTAAAAGTGATAAACAAAAAGTAGGAAGAAAACTTAAACTGGATGGCGAGGCATTAGAAACTTTTCTTGCTTATGCTGATAGAGAACATAAACATACTCGTCAAGAACTAGCGGATTATGCCTCTCATTTAACAGGACAGAAAATAACTAGGTTTATTATTGGTCGAACTTTAAAAAATCACCAGTTTACTCATAAGAAGCTTTCTCCTCACTTTGCCGAACAAAATAAAGCAAAAATAGAAGAATTTCAAGAAAGACTTTATCCTTTACTTGACTTACCTATTATGGCTTTGGATGAAAGTAGTTTTCCGCTAAATATGACTCCACGATATGGTTATTCCAGAAAAGGAACTCGAGCCAATTTCTATAAGACAGGTAAGCGAGGTTTGAGTTATACCCTAATTCTTTGTATTGCTAATGTTAAAAAGTATGGAGTAGTTCTTTATCAAATAGTTAAGGGCGGAGTTGATGCTAGTGTTTTTCATCACTTCCTTTCCCACGAAAAGATTTCAAGTGAGGATAAGAGTTATCTCATTTTAGATAATGCTAGTATTCACCATGCTGATTGGGCTTGTAAGAAACTCGGTCTTACTTCAATTAGGGAATTATTGGCTAGTAAAAATATTGAACCATTTTACTTACCTCCTTACACACCAGAAATGAACCCAGTTGAGTGTTGCTTTAATTTTATCAAAGGTCAAGTGAGAAGACAACAACCAAAAACTTATGAAGAGTTAGAGTTAGCAATTGAAAGTGCTTTAAAACCTCTTCATGAGAAAGATTTGACTGATTGATTTAGACATTGTTATTTTTATGAGCCACCTGAAAAAGGAAAAAAATGGATTAAGGTATAAAATTTCGAATGAGTTTAAGAGTTATTTTATACTGACATTATTTCGCTCTTTGTAATAAACTTCACGCTTTTTACTTAAAATTATTTTAAAATGACTTATCAACTAAAAAAAATAGATCGAATAATTAACAGCATTAAGGATGATGACCTTTTTAAGCAAGCGCTTACCCACGCTTCTTACTGTAATGAAAATAATTTGGGTTTCTCTTACGAAAGGCTAGAATTCTTAGGTGATGAAATTTTAAATTTTTATACTTCTCTTTTCATTTATCATAATTTTCCCGATTTTGCCGAAGGAAAGATGAGCAAGTTGAAACAATTAATGGTGCAAGAGAGTACATTGGCTTATTTAAGCCGAGAAATTGGGCTGAACCGGATGAATGAAGAAGGAAAACTAGAATATTTAAAATTAGGGGAAGGAGAAATGAAAAACCAAGGAGCTAACAAAAGTAGTATTTTGGCTGACATATTTGAATCTTTTGTAGCGGCTTTATATTTAAAAAAAGGTGGCAAAACTGTTTATCGCTTTCTTAGTTTAACTGTTTTTACTTGAGTTAAAGGCAAAGAGAATATGATTTGAGACTACAAAAGTTATCTCCAAGAATATTGTCAACAGCGTAAAAACAAAATCAGATACCAAACCAAAGGAATAAAAAGAGGAAAGGATAATCGACTAATATTCATTCGAGAAGTTAGTGATGAATTAGGAACTTTTAAGGAAGAAGGAGAAGGACATAGCAAAGATGAAGCAGAAAAAGAAGCTGCGGCCAAAGTAATTAAAAAATTAGGAATTGGAGAATAAGAAATGTGAACTTTAAGACAATGAAAATAAACAAAAATAGATTATGACTTTTGCTTTCGATTTAAGATTTTGGTTAATTTTAATTTTTTCTCCTTTTTTTTATTTTCCTTTTTCTTGGTTATTTAAAAAGAGAAAAAAAAGTATTCTTATTTTTTTTATGCTTTTTTCGTTCCTTATTTCTGTTCTTTGTTTATCGATGATTTTTCTTTGTTGGAGTGGAGTTATAAAGGATGTTAAAGGACTTTCTGTTTGATTTTTTAGTTTTTATTTAATATTATCGCTTTTTGTCAGTCTCGTTCTTTTTTTTATTTTTAACAAGGAGAGAACTCTAAAAAGTTCCTCCTAACAATCGAGACTAACCCTTTGAATTATTAGAATTAGACTTTTTCACAGAAAATTTTCTTTTATTTTTAACTACAACGAAAACAAAAACTATATAAAATTATTTTAACAATGTCAATGGTGGAAAAAGATATTATTGAAATCAAGCAAATTAAAAAGTCTTATGGAAATAAGATAGTTTTAAAAAATATTAGTTTTTCAGTTCAAAAGGGTAGTATTCATGGTTTCATCGGTCCTAATGGAGCTGGCAAGACCACCACTTTGAATTGCTTGATGGGTGGAGTAAAGCCAAATAGTGGCGGAATTTACCTAGCAGGACAAAAAATTGGAGAGAATGAATTAGTTAACCAAAAAATTGGTTTCATGACTGAGCAGGCCAAATTTACCGAGGATCTAAAAGTAGAAGATTTTATTTATTTGACAGGAAATTTGCGGAACCTTCCCGCTCAAAAAGTAGAAGCCCGCTTGCGACAATCGGACTTAAACAACCACCGTTTTAAAAAATGTGGAGAATTATCGACTGGCTGGAAAAAAATTTTACTTTATTTTGTTTCGGTAATGCATGACCCTGATATTTTGGTGTTGGATGAACCTACTTCCGGTTTAGACCCTTCTTACCGCGGAATTTTATTAAGTCAATTAGAGCAAGTGCGAGAACGAGGCGGAACAGTTTTAATTTCCAGTCACATTTTATCCGATTTACAAAAATTAGTGGACTCCGCCACTTTAATTGATAAAGGCAAAATAGTTTATACTGGAAAAAAACCTACTGATATTGAAGAAATGTATAATAAATTAGTTCTCAAAGATAAAATTAAAGCCAAAAGTGGACAAACTTGAATTTAATATGAATACTCAACATTCCCAAAATTACTTCTGAAAAAGGTTTTTTAGTAAAAAAAGCACCTGAATAATCCTATTTATACATTTTATTATTGTGGGTCTTTTCTTTTTGATAATTAACAAAGAAAGTGGTTGATTTCTCGGTAAACAAAGCAGAGAATGAGAAATTAAGGGAGAAAGTGGTGGTGAGAAGCCCGACCAGCCTACAGAAGGTAGGCGAGAATTAGTTAATCCAAAAGTCGACAGCGTTAATGATTTTTTGGCTTGTGTTTTTCCTAATTTAATTGTTCTCCCGCTTGTCCTTTGAACTTATTTTTTTGTTCCGCTTTCTTGGTTGTTTTGATGGCGATTTGATGAGGTGGGGCAAGCAACCCAGACCGATGGCACCGACTTGTTTTTTCTTTCCACCGAAATACCCACTAGTCGGAAACAAATTTTTGGGGGAAAAGTAGTGTTTTTAACTAAATTTTTCTCCATTTTACATTTAATTTTGTTTGCTCTGCCCTTTTCTCTCCTGTTGTGAAAAGTCGGTTATTTTAGTAATTTTACTGGATTGCAAACCCTTCTTTTCTTAACTTGGAATTTTCTAATTACCCCTTTGCTTTTATTAGTTCCCTTGGTTATCCTTTTATTTTCTTTGGCTTCTTTGGATTCAGTCTGATATACTATTTTAAAATGGCTTGGTCGATTGTCCATCATTTTTCTTGCTGTTTTGGGATTTATAGTCTTTCAAGCCCTTTTTCACGGAGGAGAAGCGGGAAAGAAAATCCTCGAATGAGGTAGAACTTTTTTTCAGTGGCTAAGTCAAAATTATCTTTTAACTACTTTAACCATTATGGGAGTGGTTATTTTCCCGGCTTTGTTTACTTTATCTTTGGCTTATCGAAATTACCAAAAAAAAGATTTACATTAAACAGGGGCAAGTATTAACTCCTTGAAAAAATAATAAAATAAACTTAAAATACTATAATGGCTAAAAAACGTTATTGTCAAAACTGTCAGAATCCAATTGAGGAAGGTAAAGAAATTAAAGTTAATAAAGGGTCTAATTACCATTTTTCTCGTTATTCTTCATACCCACGAGATTATTATATTTATTATCTTTGTCCGAAATGCCATCAACAGCAGCAGGAAGAGAGTAGAGCCAGAAATAAAAAAGTTTGAAAGCAAGTCGGTTTAACCTTATTAATTTTGTCTTGCTTGCTTATAATAGCAGTGGTTATTTTTCTGGTTTATCAGTATCGGCGGGATAAAAAAGTGGACAAAATAACCAAAAAGTCCCAAAAAAAATAATTTTTATAACTAGGTTTAGGGGATGAAACTATTTACATTGCTACTCTTTTAATTTGAGAAGGTTGGTTTTTAAGGAAGGAAAAAACAAAAAAAAATTAAAAATACTATCATAAAAACTACTTTTCCAATAACTCTGTGAAATACTTGTTTCTCTACTTCTTTTTTCTTTTCCATTCAGGAACTTCCTTCTATTACTCTTTCGGTTAAATAGTCAGTTAGGCGAAGATAAATAAAAAACAAAAAAATGCTCACAAAACAGCAATAAAACCCTTATCTGCATAAATCAGGGCAAACAAAAATGAAAACAGTAGTTCAATTCAATCAAACTTAAACATTAACTAGTTTAATTAACCCCCTCACCACTAATTTTATACATTCTACTCGATGGGGAAATTTTGATATATCACTAAATACTTTTAAGTCAGGGCAATTTTCTAAATTATACTCTCTCTTTTCTACCATGGCTTCACAATTGTTTAGTATTTTTCTAGCAAAAATTAAATCTTTTCTTTCCAAACAGGAACAGAGAATATTGGCGATGGCAACCGTAATCAAACAGGATTGTTGCCCGGAAAATAAACATTTTTCCAAATAGTTATCTTTTTTTTTTATTAGTAAGTGGATAATATCACCACAGCCTGCGTCCAGACTGCGAAAAGTAGCAAAAGGGACTTGTCATTCCTCACTTTTTTTTTTTAATTCCTCTAACTCTATTTGTTGGCTGGGTTGGCTGTAATTAGTTAGGATAATTTTTCTTTTTTGTTCGGAAGAATAGAGCATATTTTTTGGTGGAAATAAATAATCTGCGGTTATTCTATTGCTATTTTGGCGGAAGTGAGAGGATTCGAACCTCCGAATATGGATTAGATATTACTAGCTCTCCAAGCCAGCCCCTTCAACCACTCGGGCACACTTCCTTTTTTATTATTCTAACAGCATTAAACCTGACTTAATTAATTTTTGAAATTTAGAACTCGTTCACTTCGTTTAGGTTATTTTCGCGAAGTAATTGATAATTCATTTTACTAATTTTTCTTTTTCCACTAAAAACTCTTGTCTTTGCTGACAGTCTTTTATTAGTATTTTTCCACTTTTTAATTCTTTTTCTCCTAATATAATCAATAATTTTGGCTGATAATAGTCAATAATTTTGGCTAAATGTTTCATTTTTTTAACTTCTGAATTATAGTCCATTGTGAGGGAAAATTGTGCCAATTCCTCTTTTCAAGCCAGAATATCTAAATAAACTTCTGAGGTCGAAGCAAAGAAAAAAAGGTCAACTTTATGGTCAATTTTTAACAACTTTTTCTCCTCCAAATAATCTACCAACCTCTCAATTCCTACCGCAAAACCAATGGCTGGTAAATTGATATTTCCTATCTCTTGGTAAAGGCTATCATATCTACCTCCTCCTAAAATTGCTTTTTCAGTTCCTAAGTCTACTTCAAAAACTAAGCCGGTATAGTAATCCAAACCCCGCACTAAATAATAGTCATATCGATAAGGAAAATTAAATTTATTGAGTATTTGGTTGAGTTCATTTATATAATTATTATCTTTTTCACTTCATGCCCCTTGATAAGAAGGATAAGCAGATTTATTTTTACAAAGTAAGCAGTCTAATATTCGCAGCGGGTTATTTTTGTACCTCCTCTGGCAATCCTCGCATAAGTCAGGGTGGTTTTTCTCAACCAAATTTTTTAGTTCATTTTTGTATTTTTCTTTGGTTTGGTAGTCTCCTAAATAATTTAAATTGAAAGTGAAATTTTTAATTCCTAAACCACTTAAGATATCAGCAATCAGTTTTAATATTTGATAGTCAGCAATCACTCCTCGGGTATTGACTAATTCCACTCCTAACTGCCAAAACTCGCGATATCTCCCTTTTTGGGGTCGTTCATAACGGAACATATTGGCTCAATAATATAACTTCAAGGGATAACTTTCCCGAATTAATTTGTTTTGGCAGACTAAGCGCACCGTGCTGGCGGTTCCCTCCGGCCGCAAGGCTAATTCTCTCCCTTTTTTGTCCAAAAAATTATACATTTCCTTATTAATAATATCAGTGGTAGAACCCAAAGAACTAGTAAATAATTCTTGGGCTTCAAAAGTAGGGAAAATTATTGGCTGATAATTATTTTTGCGAAGTATTTCCGTAATAATTTGCTGGATTTTTTGGTAAATTAGGGAACGGGGGGGGTAAATATCCTGAGTGCCACGCGGTTTGTTAGGGAGAGTCATTAATAATTTTTAACTCCTTTTGCTCCGTTGTCAGAAAAAAATAACTGCAATTAGTAAGAGAAAAATTACTATTCCGCCACCGATAACTAATCCAGTAGGGAAATCATTTTTTTTATTGCCTCCTTCGTTTTGTTTTCCTTTTCGCTTCTTTTTCAATCCTTCAATTTCAGACTTTAACCTTTCTAATTTTTGCTTATTTGCTGAACTGTTATTAGAAGTAGGTTGTTTTCTTAATTTTTCCTCCAAGGCATTAATTTGATTTTGGAGATCAATTATTTTTTGCTGGTTATCGTTGGAATTGTCAGAAGGAGGATTTTGGTTGCCTCCCCCATCATCCTTTTCCTCGGAACCTCGGTGAGTAATTTTAACTACTCCGGCAAATTGGGGCTTGAAAAAAATTCTTAAAACATCATTGGCACCATCTTTTTTTAAATAATCAATTTCTATTTTAGTATCATCTATTTCTTTTTCCTCCTCTCCAAGTACACAAAAATTAACTTTTTCTTTCTCAAAACTTAGTTCAAATCTGAATTTTTTCTCATCCAGTAATTCATTATAACTCTCTTTTTCAGCACCATCAAAAAAAACAAGATTTATCGTATTTAGACATGAATTTGGAGGCACTTTCTCGAAAAACTCGCTAAGTGAAACTGGACTAACATTTAATTCTAAGCCTTCTGCATTGGTTGGCTTATTATCATCAACAATTTTTTTGACTTCCACATTGGCGAAAGGTATTTTAATTCTTGTCATTTTGTTTTACTTGTTTCCCCAACTTCCAACCTGATTTAAATATTTTTTGCTGTGTGTGTGTGTCATACTTAATTAGTTTTATACAAAATGACTAGAATGCTTGTCAAAAAAGAAATAATTCTCAATATTCAGTAGGAGTTAGATTTTGGGGACGAACTTTATCTGAGTAGGATTTTTCCGTAAAATATTTTTTTCATTCAGTTTCCCAATTGCCGGCAAAACTACCCAAATTATTTAAGAGAGTTTTGCGACGAAAACGAAAACAATTTTTCAAAAAACGCAAAAAAGAAGTTAATTTTTCTTGGGATGGGTTGATATTCTGGTGCAGTTTAATTACCACTAATGCTCCATCTACGGAAGGAGAAGGAACAAAAACCTTCTGCGGAACTTCCAAAACAATTTTAGTTTCTGCCAGATAATTAATAAAAACTGACAAAGCCGAATATTTGGAAGAATAGTTGACCGGAGTAGATACTCATTTTTGCCCGACTTCTTTTTGCACTAAAAAAATTAGGGACTTAAATAAATGATAGTTCAATAATAAATTAACTATTAAAGAATTAGTAATATAATAAGGTAGATTACCAACTATAATTAGTGAACTATCTTTATACTGAGAACAAAAAACGGATCAATTAATTTGTAAAGCATCCTGGTGGAGATAAATAATTCGGTCATTTTCATTATTTTTTTCTAACCATTGAAATAGTTGGGGATCTTTTTCTAAACTTATAACTTTTTGACAATTGGTTTTGGCTAAATAGTTAGTTAAATTTCCATAACCACTGCCAATTTCAATTATTACAGTACTAGTATCAATCGAGCAACTGGCTACTATTTTTTGGAGGTAATTTTGGTCAAAAAGAAAATTTTGTCCTAATTCTGACCGAGGTGGAAAAATTATTTTTGCGATAATAATATTTTTACTTATTTTTTTTCTAATTTTAGGAAAAAACTCGCTGATTATTTATTAATAAGTAAGTTGGCTTTAGTCGTTTTTTTTCTTTTAATTTTAACCAAGAAGCCTAACTCCCAAACAAAAAGCAGCTAAATTCCACAAAAAATGAAAATAGATAGGATAAGTTATATTTCATTTACTCTTGCGATACACCCAAATAAAAAGAACCGTCAATGGTAAGTAGGTAAGAAGTAAAAATTTAAGGGTAGTAAAGTTTAAAAGTCCACCTCCTACTACACCAAGGGTCGAACCAACTCAATGAAAAAAAATAAAACTTAAACCGGAAATAATGTAAGCCAGCGGATTATTTTTGCTAAATATCTCAAAAATTAAATAGCGAAAAACACACTCCTCGATAATGGGAGCCAGAATAACAATAAAGATAAAATTAAGGAGTAAAATTGAAACCTCTTCCTTTCTTTTTACTCCCATCGCTTGTTGTCTCTCTCTTTCTCTCTCTGCTTCTTCCTTAACTTTATTTAATTGCTCTTGGGTGATTACTTTTTCCTCTAACATTTTTTCTACCACCTCCTGTTGCTGTTTTTCAACTATTTCTTGCTTTCAAGTTCTACTAGCCAGCAGGGAAAGACCAAATGTCGCAATTCCAACCACCAACATTATCGTAAAATTTATTCTTTCTTGCGGTCAATTGCTTAAACCTCAGCTTCACCAAATTTTAAGGGTATTTCAAATGAGTTTTCTTTGGCTAAATATAACAAATACCGCACAAATAATCATGGGTAATTGAAATCTAAACTGGTTTCAAGCAGCCGTTCGCTGGATGATATTCATAACAATATTATTATAATTTTATTTGTTTATGGTAGCAGCGAGAGGATTCGAACCTCCGACCTAACAGATATGAGCCGTTTGCTCTAACCAACTGAGCTACGCTGCCTTTATACTATAAATTTTATTGAGAAGTAAGCAGGAAAGGTGTTGAAAATTTATTACTTGCTGTCGATTCAACTTATAACAAAGATGAAGCGAAAAAAAAAAAAAAAAGAAATGTTAACTTTAAGACAGTAAACTTTAGTTGGCTTTCGGGAACCATTTTTTTACTTCCTCGGAGAAATTTTTCTTAATTTCACTACTGCTCAAACCCAAATTTCTATTTTTAAAAATAATTTAATAATGACTGACTCAAAAAAAACAACCAAAAAATGATTTTATATTGGGGTGGGGTTAGTAGCCTTTATTTTAATTACCGCTGGGGTGGGTTTTTACTTTTGAAACAAGTCAAAAAAATCCAACGAATCTGAATCTGCTGAGGAGGAAGAGATAGTTCCGGAAGAAATTCCCCCCGAGATAAAGGTACATCGGCAAAGAAACTGAATAAATGCCGAAACCGGTCTTTCTGATTATTCAATTCCCACAGCCAAATTACCGGCTAATTTTTCGGTCTCCCAAGCCAAAGATGAGTTATTGGAAGCACTTTGACAATGGTATGGAAAAGATAAAGTTTGAGACAAAAAGACAATCGCCAAAACTTTGGAGAAAAATGCTCCGCGGATAAATTTAGCCGATAAAAAAGGAAATGAAAGTAATCCGCTTTTTGAAACCAAATTTTTGGAAAGCATAGTCGAAAAATACCAGCCAAAAAATATTTTTTCTAATCTGCCCCAGCAAACTAAATTTAGAGAAAGTATACTTGAAATTGAAAGTAATCTTCACTTTTTAAGAATAGGTTTTGATTTAAAATACAAGGGCAATAAAAAAATTGACTGGGTGGCTTCTTTGCAAGCTAAAATTAAAAGCCGAGATAAAAACCGAACTAAAACTCAACAAGAAGAGGACTTTACCAAAATGACTAACTATTTAGCAAGAGAACATATGTCTTTCATATGAAGACATATCAACCAATTTCCCTCCCTAACCAATCTAAAAGAACTAAACCACTGAGTCCATACCTTACTCAAAAAAGAGGCAGTCGCTAAGAAGATTTTTTATGCTCGATTTTTTCTAGGTCAAGAGATGAGTAAAAAAGTTCTTTCTCCGGTTCGGGGAGGAATTGAAAATTCCTCCTTTTCTAAGCTAAAAAATGAAAAATTTGGTTTAAAACCGGTTGCTTTGGCTTTTAATCTCAAAGAATAAAAATAACGATAACCACCCATTAATATTATCAGAAAAAAGCATTATAGAAGAAAGTCGAACGGTTTTTATTTATTTTTAAAATTAATATAGAGTAGATTATGAATTAAAAATATGACAAAATTCCTCAATTTGACTATAAAAATCGACCGTAGCGATAAATATAAAAATGACCATACTATTGAGTTATCCAACTTAGAGATAAAAGACCACAACGGGGTAATTATTTCTGAACTTAAAACTCACAATAGTGCTGGTGCAGTTAGCCACCTTAAATTTCCAGTAAGCAAGGTAAAAAAAATAAAAATGGCTTCTGCTTGGCTTGATATTCCGATTAGTTGAGCCTGAAAAAATAAACGGGGTGCAGCCCTCCAGTTCACGCTAAAAAACTTAAAATACGAGGCGGAGAAAGGTTTAACCGAAGTGGGTTCGGATACCCTTTTGTTAAATAAAAAAGATTTCGAGTCCGAAGCTTTTAAAAGCCGAGGGGAGGAATTTTTCCGCACTTGAAAAAACATTGAATTATCCAATGAAGGCGACAACCAAATTTTTTTTGAGTTTGCAGATTTATGATGAGAAATTATCAAGGCTGGTGAGGATGAACGAATTGACCACTTGGTTTCTAAAGTAGAACCAATAACAACCAGCACAGAATGGACAGAATTTTACGAATTGGAAAATATTAATAATAATGAAAAATCAGTTGAAAAAATGTGCCAAGGTTTTATCCGAGAAGTTCGAGAATTAGCCGAATGAAGAGATGTAGGAATTAAAACTCTATTAGCGGCTCAAGTGGCCAAAAAAAATGGGTTTGATCTCATTGGCAGTCTGGATTTGAAAGATGAAATTAGGGAAGGAAAATATTATGGCTTTCCAATTGCCTCAGGAGAAAAATATCAAAGGTTTATCACCATGACTAATTCCTTCTTCTCGCATATCCCTTCCTCTGTTTTCTTTTTGCAAGAACAAGCCCGCTATACCAAAAAGAATATTGATACTTTTCGAGAATTTTTTCCTAACGATAAAGACCAAAGCGACCCCAAATATTTCCGTGGTTTTCGCCCCGGCGACATTATAGATTTAGGTGATGGATTTTATAGTGCTTTTCACTGGAAAGACCTCAAAGATGGAAAAGGTAGATTTTATAAAATAAAAACGGGGGGAGAATTTACTCGCACTTATTATGAACTTAAAAGTTGTTGTGAAAGCAAAAATATTAATAAAGAAATATGACAAGAAATTAAAAAAATATTATTCCGACTAGAAGCTTTCAATGAAGATATAAACAAAACTAAAAAAGAACATTGGTATATTTACTGGAAGTGATTAAATCACTTTTGGATTTCTGAGTTTGTTGAAAGAGGGTTTGGGGGACTTCACCGTAAGTTAACTGACCTATTTTCCCTGCTCGAAAAGTCGTATACCAACGAAAGTAAAGAGAATTGCGAAACTGCTTCGGAGATCCTACGAGGTTATGAAAACCCAGTTGCTAATTCGGATGAGGAAGTAATTAAAAATAAATTTTATTCCTCCGAAATTAATGCTAAAAAGACTGAAATCACTGACCGGATAAAGGCTCTTTGATTGGCAACTATTGAGGCGGCAGCTAATGAGGATTACGGCATCGGTCAGTTAAGCAACGAGCGAAAAAAGATTTTCACGGTTCATAAATCGGAGATAAAAAACGAGACTATTCTCACCGAAATTAAAGCCCTAATTAAATCATTGGTCAAAGCCGAAAAATCTATTTCCGAATTTAAAAATTTAGATAAAATGGCCTTGACTAAAACATTAAAAGAGGAATACCAGCAAGGTAGCGGAGATAAAAAAACCGCTTACACCATTGTCAACTTAGTTGATAACCAGTGAGTAGACCGAATAATTACTGAATTAGGAACCATTAAACGAAAAGACCCGCAAATTCTTCTAGAAGAAAGCCGAAACTCAATCAAACTTAAATATACCAATGAGGCGGCCGTGCAAGCCATTTTTGATAACGAGGCTTTAGATTCGGTAGCGGCCATCCAAGCCGCCGAAAGACTATTAATAAAAGTGCGAGAAGCCCAAAGTAAAAATGACCTGGATGCTGCTTTGTTAACTCTTTTACAAGGCTATCAGGAAGCACCGACCGGAACTATTAAGAATAAAGCCTGACAAGCGGTTAATAGTTATCAGCAGCAAGCCGAGGTGGCTCTCGCTCGCCTCCAAAAGCGAGACCAAATTCGGGAAGAAGTAGCCAAAACTATCCAAGAAGCTAAAAATGAAAGTGAGTTAGAAGCGGTGTATAACAAAATTAAAGACAGCGAACTATATAAACAGGGTGGCAAAAGCAGAAAAGTTATTAGAAATTTGAGAAGAAGAAAACGAGTTTCTTTTCAACTTAACCAAGAAAATTTTTCCGCCGAGAATAAAAATTTCTTACAAATTGCCTTGGTAAAACTAATTCCTGAGACAATAAAAGATGATAATGGCGAGCAAGCATTAACTGAACTGGAAAACCAGTTGAAAACTTTTAAAACTGCTCCCGAAGGCGAAGAAAAAGGTCAAATTTATCAGAAATATCAAAAAACCATTGACCAAGTATTAAACGAAATCTGTCAAGAAAAACAAAGATATCAACAAGCGAAACATCAAGTTAACGAGGAGGAATCAACCTCCGGCGATAACCAAAAGCCTAGTATTGATCGTCGTTTGCCGAATTGAGTCTGAGGTCTTATTATCATAGGAATAGCAGTCATGATCGGAACCGTTTTTTTAGTTTCGATTTTACATTTTTACCGATGGGGGGAATGAAAAAACTCCACAAAAAAAAGTATATAATAAAATTAAAATGAATTACCAAGAAAGCTTAACTCGCCTCAATAAAGAGAAAGAGAAATTGGAAAAATCGGTCGGCACTGATGATTATAATGATAGCGATAATGCCCAAACCAGAACCGAGAAGCAAAAATTAAAATTGGTTAAAGAACTAATTAAAGGCTATTCCCAAAGTTTTAAGGGGGTAATAAATAGTGATACCATCCGAGAAGTATTTGATAGTGTTTACGGCTTTGAAAAACAAAAAGAGGAAGTAAGGTCGATTCTGCTGCTCCAAAAATATTTCTCCGCAAAAGGAATTAAAGACCCTGAAAGTGGAAAAATTATGTGTTTTGTAGGTCCGCCCGGAGTCGGTAAAACTCATTTTTCCCGTGAACTAGCCAAGGCTCTCGGTCGAAAATTTTTTGCAATCAATTTAGGAGGAGTCGGCGATCCAACCATTATTAATGGTGGAAAAACACATATTGTAGGTAGTGAAGAAGGGGGGATTATTAAAGCTATCACTGAAACTGAAAGTCGGGATCCGGTAATTTTGCTGGATGAAGTTGACAAAACCAGTTCATTTTTTGGTGATAGCAGCATTGAAAATGCTCTTTTGCATGTCCTAGACCCCGAGCAAAGCAAGCGTTTTAAGGATGGATTTTTAGGGGTGGAAATCGACATTAGTTCCGTTACTTTTCTCTTGACCGCGAATGAGATAACCAAAATCCCCGAACCGCTTAAAAACCGCTTGGACATTGTTAATCTGAATGAATACACGAGGGAGGAAAAGTTTAAAATTGGTAAATTAAATCTTAAAAAAGTCTTTGCTGAAAGTTATCAAGACATAAATAAAGAACTTTTTGAAATTACGGATGAGGCTCTTTATACTTTAATTGACAAAGTGGAGGAACCAGGAGTTCGGCGGTTAGAAAGGAAAATTAAGGACTTGATTAGATGGGCTTTTACTCAATGGGCTTCAACCTTAGAAAGCGGCGAGGAAGAAGTAAAAATTATCATCGATAAAGAAAAAGTAAATGAACTAGTGGAAGACCTAAAAAAGGAGGAACCGGAAGAAGAAAGTGCCGAAGATAAATTAAAAAAAGAGAATGAAGAATTAGAACAAGAAAATGACCATCTCAGAACTGGTAATTTAGTTCTTTTTAAATCCTTAATTATTAGCAATAATACAGGATTTTGTGATAAGCATAATAAAACTACTTGCCAAAATTCTGAGGGGACTTGTGTTCTTTGCCAACTTAAAGAACAAGTGAAAACCATTGAAGCCATTATTACCAAGGAAAATTTATCTACTTTAAAAAAAGCCTGAGAAGTTCAAAAGCAAAAGTGGATCGAAAAAAGCAATGAATTACAAGAGAAAGAAACCGAAGAAGCCAAGGAATTAGCCAGCGAAATCAGAGCCAGTGTTGCCAAAATTAACCAAAAATTTGACCAAGTTCGTTCTAACCCAACTCGGAGTACTAATTCTCAACCAAACCAAGGTTTAGGTGCCCCTATTTCACTCTTGATAATCGGAGGAGGAATAATTTTATTTCTAATTGGAGGCCTAGTAAGTTGATTTTTGGTCAAGATTCAAAAAAAAAAAAAAAAAAACATGCTCCAAATTCCCTTCCAAGCAAGCCAAGAATAAAAAATAATTCATTGCGAGAAAAAATATAAACCAGTTAAAATTAAGTTATGAAGTTAATAGTTTGGTGAATTGCCTTAATGCTCGTTTTACCTCTCGCTTATCTTTTTTGGTGAAAAAAAAGATGACGATTACTGTTAGGAGCCATTATATTAGCAGTTTTGGTAATTAGTTATTTAGTCCCAGGTGAATTTGCCTTTTCAAAATTGACTACTGAAATTGAAAAAAGACAATCGCCAGTAAAGCAACTAAAAACAGCGTTAAGAAGTATCTCGGAGGAGGAAATAAAACCTTCTGATTCAGAAAAAACTAAATGCGAAAAAACAATAATTAGATTAAACCAAGCAGTTTGAAAATGGATGGAGAAAGAACTAAAAGGGGAAAAATTAAATGAAATGGAAGTTCTTCAGCATTATTCAGATAAACTTTCACTCATGGTTGAAAAAAACAAATGAATTAAAAGGTGAGGGAAGCAAGAAAAACCATCCACTTTCTTGTTTTGCGGGGAACAATTTAATGAAAGTTTGAACCGAAAAAAAGAACAAAAGGGAGAAGAATGACAAAAAATAAAGAGTTGCAACATTATCGATTTTGGACAGAGTGAGAATAATAAACCAAAATTATTGGAAAAGAAATTGCAAAAAATTTGTGAGCAGAACAGGGAAGACATCTTTGAAGGTCACTTCCCAACTGTTTGGCTAAAGGATATTAATAAAATTAAAAATTCCGAAGTAAAAAAAAAGTTATTAAAAATTGTCGATCCGGAGCAAAAAAATAATTTAGGGAAATATTATTTACCAGAAAAAAAAGAAAACGGCAAAACTGAGCAAGTAGAAAAGGTAATTGATTTATCTCCCTTCAACTTGGTGGCTACCACTTCGGTTACCCACCCCAAATTGTCGAATGAATTACTAGCTAAATTAAAACACATTGAACCAGTTTTAGAAAAACATAAGTGAGTTATTTTCTTTTCCTCAATGGGAGTGGAAGTTATTGTTTTGGTGCTACTAATAAGAAGTCAACGAAAAAGCAAAGATAGATCATTTAAAAATTTAAAATATTATTAATTTCTTGGTGCCTTGTGGAGGACTCGAACCTCCAACCCCCTGATTAAGAGTCAGGTGCTCTAACCATTGAGCTAACAAGGCTATAAACCAGTTTTATAATTAATTTTAGGCTGCGGTGATTTCTAATTCTTGGTTTGACTCGTTAAAATCATGCATAATACCTTTTCCGTATTTTCTATCCACTTTTCCATAACGGATAATAAAATGTTTACCTGTTTTTAATTTCCCCTCACTTAATAATTCTTTAATTCTCGGGTGGTTTTTGCTAATGTAAAAGACCTTTATTTCGTTTTCGGGAAGGTTGATAAAAGCGTAATCAGTAAACTCCCCTTGCTCATTTACTGCCTCACCGTTAAGTCTAACTCTCACCTCGGTTTTGATTCCTGGACTTTCTACTGGTTCGGGCTTTAAAGTAAATTTATGGTTATTTTCGCTGAAATAATAAACCTGGTCTTGGTTATGATATTTCTCGGCATCTTGGGACAAAAAAGTAATATTGTAATTATGGTTCTTTTTAGTTAGTTCGCTATTATTCAGAAAAATTGGGTTTTCTTTGTCAATGAGAATCGATTTGTTTTCGTTGCATTCAATTCACATATGATTTTGTCCTAATGCCACATAGTAAAAAACTGTAAATTGTAATTGGTTGGGGTCGGTAGGAGAGTTAGGTTTATCCGGTTTTTTGCCTAACTCTTGCTGAATTTGTTTAACTTCCTGCTCTAATTTTTTCAGAGTTGTGTTTGGCTGAGAAAGATTATTTATCTGGCTTTCTAAATTGGATAACTTATTCTCTAACTGAGTTTTTTGGGTAGTATCTGATAGGTTATTAAGTTTACTTTTTAGAGAATTTAATTCCGTTTTTAATTGCTGGATTTGCTGGTTTGAATTAGTTGGTTCTTTATTATTATTCCCGGTTGATTTATTTTTCGGTCAGACAAAGTAAGCAACAGCACTAATAACTACTATTATTAATATTCCACTAATTAGATAAATTATTGTTTTTTTTTTTTTTTTTTGCTATTGTTGTCATATATTACTTTATTTTACTTTATTATTTTTTTTTGTAAGTCTAGGCTTGAATTTGGTGACCTCAGGCTTTATCTTATGATGAAGGTGCCACCAAAAAAGCAAAGTAGTAAATCAAACTAAATTTAAGGCAAAAAAAATGAAAAAAATAAACAATAAACCCCAACTTAAATTACTTGACTTGCCATAGTCGGCTACTCATTTAAAGAAAATATAAGGATGTTCTCATTTACCACACGGATACTTTTTTGATCCAGCAATTAACGGGCGATAGAAAACAAAAACTATGTAAAGGAAAGGGTGAAGAAAACTGTAAAGGAATAATCACCTTCTTTCGTAATAAGTTTTGGCTAAACTAATTTTTCTCCGAACAAAATAAGTAATTGTCAAGATAGGAGCTAAATAGTGTCAAATAATAGCATAAAACCATCAAAATATTCTTCTATCTATGGTGAGTGAGAACACCTTCATTTCACCCTTACTTGGTGCGGCTATCCAGGGCTTTCCTCCTCAGCAAAATGGCAAAATACCAAGAGAGAAAAGAACAATCGAAGTAATGTTAGCATTAATCACAATTAAATCAAAAACTTTATCAAAATAATTAGGCGGAGACTTTTTAAATAGTCGATAAATAAAGTAAATAATAGTAATTAAAGAGGCTTGGACACTTCACCAACAAAGAAAATATCATCAATAGTTAATTTCATTCAAATCTCACCTAGGTTTATGACAGTCGAAATAAACACAACAGAAACAAGCAAGTAGATGAAAAAAAACTGAAAAGGTTAATAAGTAAAAATTATTTTTTTTAGCTTTCATTATATAATTAATTTATTTTTAATTTTTTGGTCATATTATTTTAAAATTTTTTTATAGTTAAAATAGTTAATGTATGGCAAACTGATATTGTAATATAATTAACTTTAATTCTCTAACTTTTTTCTTTATTTTTTTTGTCTTTTTCATCAAGTTCTTTGATTTCCCGTTGGGTTAAAATTTCTTTCTCTTGCTCTCTTTTTGAATAATCTTCTATACTTTCTCCTCTTTCTAGTGCTTCCCAGCGATCATAATCGCGAATACAGTTTTTACTGCAAAAGTAATATCAGGCATCAGAAAATTCTACTCTCTTAGCACCTCAGACTTTCCTTTCCTCATCTATTGTTTTTTGGCAAGTTTGGCACTTGCCTAAGTATGGAGTTTGATATTTGATTGGTTTTGCATTAGCAATTGCTATCAATCTTCCTTTAACTTCTAATACATTGTAAAGAAGTTTGACAACTAGAAATAGGCAGTTTTTTCTAATATTATTCCAGTTTTCTTGGCAAAACAAATCATCAATGCGATAAGTCAATAAAGGCGAAGAAATTTCTGCAAAGATTATTTGGAAACTATTTCCTAAAGGAAGTGCGATAATATGTAGTAGATTTTTTTTTACTTCAAAATGCTCATTTTCCCCCTCTGTAAGTTTAAATAATTCTATTGGAAGAAAACAAATTCACTTCTTATCCTTTGGGAGATCCACTTCTTTAAACAAATCAATCAGTCCACTGTAGTCCAATTTATGAAAGTCCATTTCCCTTTTTATTATTAAATTAGATGAATCATACTGATCTTTTTGGCAAATTTTTGGTGTCAATTGAAAATTTAAACCTCAAATAAGACTTTGAGGAAAGGAAGGGATTTTCCTTTTCAATTCTTCTTTCAATTTCTCGTTGTCATTTAGTACTTCAGCATCCTTTTTCTTGTCAAGTCAGCCATAAGTAGAGAATTCTTTTAGTAGTTCTTTATTTTCTTCACTAAAAGAAATTCAAGGAAAATTTTGGTTGTAAGAAATAAGATGACTTTTAAGGTGTAGTTTTTCTTTTCTGAGTAAATTAGTTATTTTTTCTTCAATGTTATTCATTCCTACTTGATAATAATATTATTTTATAGATATAGACTATTAACTAACCATTAAAATAAATAATAAGAGATGAAAAGCAAATTGCCATCGCTTCTTTATGTCACTGACGAGGGTCGGCGAGTTTATGAATTCCATGCTATCATTAATAAAAGAAAAATAATTGAAATCCATATCGATCCCCATTATGAGGAAGAACATGGGAGTTATATGACTGATGAAATTATTTATAACTTTGCCTTTGAATTAGAAAAGAAAAAAATTTGAGAACCTGAGGAAATAAAAGATGGATGAGAGTATTATTCTACCTTTCCTTTGTTCAGAGGTGATTGGCGGGCTTATGAAATGCCTTGATGCCTAAAAGATGGTGCTAATTTCTTAGGAATAAGGAGTTGTTATCGAAGAAGTAAACATGATATTAAAGAATTAAAAAAATATGACAAATAATAACAAACAATTAAATAGGAGTTATCAATATCCAAAAGAGGATAAAGAAATATTAGCCAAAATGAGGCATCCTGATTATGAGGGAAATTATTTATTGCCCGATAATGCTTCTTTTTTAGACAAAACTAAATATCAGATTTGTGAAAGAATATTAAATCATAAATACGATAATAAACTAACTACTGAAGAATTAGCCGAACGAATTAATTTAAGTGTTCCTGAAACCAAAGAACTACTTTTTTGTCATATTCATAAATTTACTTTAGATCGCTTAGATCGCTTAAATTTTTACTTAACTTGCTTATTTCCTGATGTAGAACATGAAATTTTCAGAGAGTATCAAACAATACCTCATCTTCCTTATTTATATCTAATATCAGTTGTAAGGCAGGATAGATCTCAATTATAGTTTTTCTTTTTCCTATTCTTGTCGTTTGTTTCAGACATTTATGGATAATTGATAATGATTTTGCCCTTACTTCTAGTTTATTCCGGACAGAAATCATAGGGGGATAAATATTTTTAAAGTTATTGATAGAGCCAAGAACTAGGGTATTATCCTTGGGTATCGTGAGTAAACCAATGTAGCAATTAAATGCTTAGTCTAATCACCTAAACTCTTGTGAGTTATAATTTAAAATTAACATAAATTATGGGTTGGGTAATAAATTATTCTTTATTATCAGAAAACATTCCTAACACTTTCTTGGTGATGAAATGTCCAATTAATCCGGCTCCTAAAAAAATACCTGCAAACCAATCAAGATTACTAATTAATAAAATCGGCATTCATAATTTACCATCGATATTTTGAGCGATTTCAACTCCCTTTCTTTGTTTAGGAATGGTGGTTTCTTTTAAATCTTTTAAAGTTGCTTTATCAGTATCAGATAAAATAATTTTATGTATGAACTCCAAGGTCAAAAATTTTCCCTCTACTCCTGATTATTCAGAAAACTCCGCAAAGAATTAATTATCTGATACTTTTTTACCTTTCTTTCTTCCTTTTTTTATTATCAAGCTGCTTTTGGACTGAAAAAATGGCACTATGAAGGAACCGATTTCCCAATTTCATTTTTTTTTAAAAACCTCACCATTAAAACCCGCGGAGGATTGCTTTTATACACTTTTTTTTGCTTTTTTATTGGCAGTCTGCTCACTAAATTAGTCTGTGATTATTGAAAAAATTATACTTTAGAATTATGCCGTAAACGGTTGCGGAAATTGATAATTAACGAGAGTGCCAAAAATCCCCAAACTTCTCAACTCCATCGTCAAGAAATATTGAATAATTTCCTTGGAGAAACCGAATTATTTGTGCCCCTTTTTATCTTGATACCTCAACGAATATACGAAGCAATTGTTAATGTCATCTTAACTTTCATTTTCGTGATTAGTTTTAAAAATAAAGAGAGTAAGTTTGTTAATTTGGCTATTATTTTTGTCGTAATGGTTTCTCTAATTATCACTTTTTTAGTTTTTTTTGCTTATCGGGTTCAAAAGAAAATTAACCAACAGCAAAATAGGTTTCGGCAGCAGGAAAACCTAGCCATGGAAAGATATTTAAAAAACCAAACTGACCCTCAGAAAGTTGAAAAAATGGTTAATTCTAATTTCCAAAAAAACCGTGCTTTGCTGACCAAAAAAACTTTTTCTTATCTGCCTAATTTAATTATTCCGGGGTTAAATATAATTTTTTGTCTGATTTGTGTCATAAAGTATGGAAAGAATTGAGAAATTAAAGAATTTGTAAGCATTGGTATGCTGGCTGGTTCGATTCAAACGATATTTTGAAAGGTAAGGGAAATCACCGATAATTCACTGGAAATTAGCAAAATTAAAGTTCATTATAAGTCTTTACAAAAATTACTCCATAAACTAAAAGTTAGAGAAAAATAAAGAGAATTAGCAAAGTTTTTAATTAAAAAATGACTTGTTTTTAGGTTTATTTTACTAGTAATTAGGTATGTTTTCTTGCTCGACTATTAGTTTTCTGAGAGATGGAATGAACTGCTTCTCCTGGGCGAATCATTTTCAAGTTAAAAGAACCAAATAATTTAATTGAATACTCACCTAATTCATCCAAACTAAAAGTGTCAATATGAGTAAATAGTAAACACTCTAATTTTTTCCCCCCCTTAATCCCTAATTTTTTTTTTAAGTCTTGTTCAGAGATTTTATGCTCATGAACATATCATAAGATGCTTTGACAAATTTCATATTTGGCTTTATCAGTGGGAGTAGCATTTCAAGTCAAACCCTTACTTTTTTGATGATAATCGGACTTGCTCATTTTTTCTAAAGCAGATACATCAATCGGATGTCAGCCAGTTCTAATTATTTTTGAATTATTGTTTTTTGTCATATTTCTTTTCTCGATGGCAATTAATTATCAGTAAAGTGGCAGTGAAGAGTGAATCATCATAATCTCAAACTAGGTTATAGGCTCGATAGTCAATATAAAGAGGCTCGTGGTCGTAGTAACCGTTTTCATTTTTCCAAAATGGTTTATTAGGTAGTTTTTTTATTAATTCCCTAATTACTTCATCATTCACCGTCGAACGACCTAACTTAGACTTATAATATTGGCTTATTCCTAATTCCGCAAATCACCGACCATTAATCACCACCTTACAAGCATAGTAATTAACTGAATAATTAACAATCTTTTTCACCA